AAAAAATACTCGGCAAACTTATAATTTTGCCGAGTGCAGGGGAAAAACACTCGGCAAAGTAGCACTTTTGATAACGGCCGGCACGCCGTCAGACGGCCGTCGCACGTGCCAGTCACGTGAATGTATTTTGCCGAGTGTCGTCTTGTTGTTTGCCGAGTGTCTGATATACTACACTTGGCAAATCGGTTTTTTTACCGAGTGCAATATGTATGCCGAGTATCTTATTCACTACACTCGGCAAATCATCTCTTTGCCGAGTGTCCGATGAAATGCACTCGGCAAACTAAAAACACTTTTCCGGTAGTGATTAAATCTAAAAATATTAAGTTTTACATTGCGTTTTTTATGAATGTGTACTTTTATTTACAGGTGGGAGGTAGTAGCCCGATGCATGCATGCAGCCAGCGTTTGGATCAAAATGCTCATGGAGATGTATTTTGGACATCCTAGCTAGCTATAGATGAAAACTTTTTAAGGACTTCCTAGAAGTGGATCATTTTGTAAACAGTGCAAGCAAACGATATGGGTTATGCAACCAAACATCTTTAGTCTAGAATATTGGTCAAACTTATTTCATCTTAGCACGTTTGCCATTAACTCGATTTATGGAGGTAAGACAGCCACCGGGCATTATATATTAAGGTCGAGAAAACCGAAAACCTCCAAATCTGAACAACCACCACTGAGACCGGGCCTTAGACGAAGAGCTACTAGAACCACGTAACCACCTGAGTTGGTCCGTTCACAGCATTTATCATCATCACCTAAGGGTGAGGTTTACGGTTTACCACTTCTGCGAACCCCAAGAAAATCAGGACATCAGGCAGCATCACGTGTTCCTTCCTGCAATCCACGTATTCGAGTGTTTTGGTGTTTGGCTAATGTTTTAGGATAACACATAATCAACGTGCGGGCGTCAGTTGGGATACGGACACACATTTCTTCCTCCCATCGCATCTCCTCCCTCCCGCCACATCTTCTTCCACTCGACCTCTCCCGACCGCCGCCTCCCCACTGCCACCCCGACGGTTGGTGGCGTCCACACCGCCCACCGAGCCGTCTACCACCCACCCCCGCCGTTTCTATCCTGTCCTTCCTAACTCTGATGTCCCTCGCCCCTGCCGCCGACCCCGCCCACCGGTTATCCTTCACCATCCGGCCGGCGGCTCCGTCGCCACCTTGCCTCACCGCCTGACAATTCGCCTCCGCCGTCGAGCTGGCCGCCGCCCCCGGCCATCCCTCTAGGGCCGGGGACATTGGAGAACCCCAAAGCTCAAAGCCAAACTCTAATCCTAAGCACCTCCACCCCGCCGCTGCCGACCTCGACCGCCGCCAGCAGACGGCGGCGGTGAGAATACCGCCAGCGCCGTCCGCCCACACCCCGCCTGTTGTCCTTCGCGACCACCGTCCTCCCCTAACGGCGCAGGTCTGCCATGGAAGACGATGGTCACCACTCACAACTCGACTCGATGTGTGTCTGTGCGTCGCTTCCTCTTTCCGACGCACATGCTGTGAATAAGGATTTAGAAATGTGGAGGTTGGAAAGAAAGACACGAAGACAACTATATAGGGGACACAACCTGTTAACCCGTCTATATATATTTGAGCTCCTCAATGGCAAAAAAAAAAAGATAACTTCCCACGTAGGCTGTAGCAAAAGGAGGGCACGACGACGATGACTGTGAAATGACCAGCATTAGTAAACGATTGAAGTGCAGAGATTTATCTTATCCTGCGCCCTGCGGTCTCGACGCGTGAAGATGAGAGGAAGGGGCCCAAGACTAAAGACCAAAGACCTGGGTTTATAAAGGTTTATTGTCACACGACGCGTTGATTTATCTTATAGTCATATATACTACTTTGTCCGAAATGATACAATTTTTGGTTTTCATTTAGTAAAAAAAATTAAACTTTACTAAGTTTATAAAAGATATTAGTAATATTTATGACTATAAGTATAAAAAAATTAGTGCTTCTTTTATATATTTAATCAAATTTAGAATTGTTTAACTTGAATTGCATTGTTTTATGACAGAGGAAGTACTAGCTAATTGTGAACTATGAACACCCGAATAACACAAAAACTTTTAGAATCCCTGGTCATAGAGGCAAGGAAAAATCCGAGAAGATGTATGGGTGATATCGTGGAAAGGCAGAGTCTTTTCGCTGTATTTTCGTGCTGTCATCCTTGCAGCTTCTGTGCAAAAATATAGGACGATGATTATCATTTATCAAGTCTCTTTCTTTTGACCTTTTTCTGTCTGTGTTCAGACGCTGTAGGCAGGGTTAGTTTCTCTGACACGGCTTCAACTTCTCTTTTGCAAACAGGAACTTCGCGCTGCATTTCCTATTACACTGGCGGCAACTCCTCGCGCATCTTCGTGACTGCCATCTCTGAAAATTGTTTCTCCACAGCTCGGTATATATGCCTGTGTATGGTTGTTCAAATTCCGTGGAGGGTGTGGTCTCTTCCTCCCTCTGCCATCTTGTCTCTCTATGCCGGGTATGTTTTGGTGGTGGGAACTAGAGTTTGTCTTGCCGGTCTTTTTGTCATAGCAAAATGCTAGTGACTCTTCCTTTTTTAAGGCCCCCAAAACCATTGCTTTTGTTATGCCTTACATATAATATCAGTTCTATTTTTTAAAACTATCAGTTCTGTTCAAACTTAAAAGGCGTGTCACGATCCATTCCCTGGGATGCTTGTCTCTGTATCTGTGACGCTGGTTGCAGAAGTTGTAGCACGCAGAATTAGAATCCAGGTAGACGCTGGTTGTCAGATGATGAATCCTAGATAGTGTCATTCAGATTAGGGTATCAGAAATAGATAAAGAATTACATGAATGATGGCCAAAGTATGGTGCTGCTTTTGTAGATGAAGATCTCCCGTCGGATTTGCTACTGAGTACTGACACATTGGAGCATTTCATATTTCCTATATGCACTGCAAGTCAGAGAGTTTCAAGAGAGACTTGAGTGGTTTACCTGATGGATATACCGGGTAACTGTCTTTTGCATGAAGCTTGTCTGATCAGAAGCAGAGAGCGGAGAGAACAGAGTGCCTCTCGTGTTAGTTTCTGCCAATTTTGGAGTTCCTTTTTCTACAGCTCAGATGATCTTCAGTTTCTACCGTGCATGCAGTATGTCTCTACGCTTGAATGAATGTCACTACTTTCAGTTCAATCCCCAGTTCTGAACTCTACATGAAATCATTTGAGAAACATTGAACTTGAAGCAGGAATATGCAATAAATCAATTCTTTTACATTTTTTTTTCATTTCTCTATAGACAGTTTGGAGCTACTAATAGCATTACAATTTTTTAAGGGTGATAAATGCTTTGCCGCAACATTAATACAACTTGGGGTGTTAAACCCCAACACCACCACGCATTACAACTTCCTCACTGACACGGTTAATACAACTAAGCTACTTAGTTCCATAACGCAGTACAATGTGGTACGGTTTATGGTACATGCCAATCTCACCAAATGAGTACATCACGCATATGAAGTTAACACTATACATATAGTTCCACATATTAATACAGATTAAAAATTGAATACAATTCAGTCTCCATATACAAAGGACAAAATATCATCAATCTTTTGCTCAAGCATGAGCCTTGCCCTTTGCAGCCCTTATTTTCATAGATGAAGACATTATAGCCATCCACTTCACAGGAGCAGCCAATTTTATCCACCTGGGGAAGGAGAGCAGCTTCACCATGAAGCAGCGAACATCAGCTGGCATGTCGCTCAAATTGGCAGTGGAAAACTGAGAGATCTTATTGATGAGAAGTTCTTCGTGTGGCTCATCTGGCTCCAACATCTTCATTATCTCGTGGAGGTCACTCTCGCTGAAGCTATGTTGCAATGAGAAACCAGGACAATCAGCTGGAACGGTTAGAGAGGGAGGAAATGGGCACTGAGAAGGTCCCCCCTGCTCTGTATAGCAAACTGGATAATCTGCAAAAGGGACACTATTTGGTGTACTGCTTTCCACTTTTTTCTTTAGTGAAAAAAAAGAATGATAGCATGCAATTAATTGAGTAGGGCTATTGGTCCTATTTCATTTGCTGCACTAGCTGGTTCGAGTGTCACTGAACCTGTAATACAATTTAGGTCTGAAGTTTCATGCTGGATTTCATCATCAGAATCCAGCTGCCCGGGAATGCCAAAAGATGAACCCTGTGAAAGTGTGTTTCAGTCAGTGATTTCAGAGAGATGGATCCAATAGGAGCAACCAGAAATTTAGATCCTAAAAAGAGTGCATATTGATTGTATTAAATGTTTCAAATAATGCTTAAAAAGGAAATCAGAATGATTGCAAAGCATTTGTTGGTTTCTAAATGCATTTAAAATATAATTAAAAGAACTACCACACATTTGTTTATTCTGAATTGTGGCCATGTCTATTTCAGTCCAGGTATAAGAAATTTTCTACGATTTAATGCAGTATAAAATAATAGGGATATTACTTACAGTTTCATTGTTTTCTTGTGCACAAGGTAACGCCCTTACTCTCCTGGACCCAATCCTCTGGAGTGGAAACTGCTGGGAGCATACACCAAAAACTCGGTTCACCTCTGAAGTATCTTGTTCATCAGTTTCATGAATAATTTGACCTGGAAGGACAATAAAGATCCCTACTTTACAATAAATCAATAAGCCATCTCCGCACAAATAAAAAATATAGAGTGTAATAGATCTTGACCAGTAGGCTTAGTTGGTGACATGATTGATCCCTGGAGAGTAGTGGAGTTAATTGCTCTTGGTTGTCTATTATACATTTCATAATCATGTTGATGATAGTCCATACATTCATATGCATCCTTACTCAACTTTTTCACTTGGTCCTGAAATGGTATAAACAAAGATATTAACACATTTCTTTCAAAGTTTCCAATATTGTTTTCTTCACATATAGATAAAACAAAATTTCTTATCCCCAACTTCCCATTTCTTTTGGTAGTTGATATAGCTGTGAGCATCAGAAAAATACCTTCCAAATTGTATCAAGATCATCATAAACATGATACTGGTCAGCTATTGTTGCTCCTACAATCTGACCCACACAAGTGAAGTACAGCCTAATTTTCTTGTCTTCCATAAAGTGAGAGTAAAGGGCTGTGCCAGGATCACACTTCTTAGCATGATTAACCATCTTTTTCTAGAATGCATCTGAGGCACTGCTGAGAATCTAGAAGCAAGAAGGTGACAATGATCATCAAGAATTCAAGATCTGACCAAGAAAAAAGATACAAACATAATTTTACTCTTACATTGCGCAGTGTTTTCTCATCCATATAATACAGCCTCAGGAAGTGCTTCACCAAAGTAATGCCTCTCTGCTCCAATGACTTACAGAAGGGACCCTTTTTTGCAATCTTGTCCAGGCGCCATACTTCATCATCCAGTGTTGGAATATCACATTTTTTGTATCCTACAGATATAAGAAATGTTTAAACTAATCAGTAAATGATTTGACTTCCAATAGCACAAAACTGAAGGTAAAATAGTCCAAACTCAATTTCAGGATTACCTTCCCCTCGGCGGTCCTTCACTGTGAAAGGTTCAGTTATAGCTTCTTGAACTCTTTCACCATGATTATCAATAAGCATTACCCCAAGCCTAAACTTGCCACTCCTTGTGAACTTGGAGTTATCAACAAAAATAATGTTTTCGAGGTAGGCCTCACCATTTTTCAGTTTCAATTTCAGCTTCCCTGTAAGCACCGCCCCAATTTTGTCCCGTGGGATCATTATATGGTGTTCAAACTCCTCGGATGTCCAGCACTCACGATTGTCCGCATTGAAGTCACCATCCAGAACCAAAACCTTGACATTGGCCAAGAGAAGCTGGGGAATGTTGCTACCTTGCAGATTGCTTACAGCCAATTTTATCATGAGGTGACCCCCACCCGCTGCCCGGACCTCCCTCTTTGTAAAATTTTTGTCGCTCATGGAATTCACGAAGGTGAGTTTGTAGGTTGGAGGCAGGTTCTGTTCAATTCTCTCTCTGCGTAGACATTGCAAGTGAGATGCAGAAGCAGATCATGAATGTAACCATGCAGGCTGCAAAAACTTGGAACGCAAAACTTACTGTGGATTAGGAGAAAGGTTCCAGGGGCTTGTAAGTACTTGTGCCACCTCTTCCATAAACTATTAAATGAAGGAGGAACAGGAAAAAAAGAAGGGAGTCAGTATTGCTGACACAGTTATGTTCATTATCTATATTAATATAGATATGTGAATACTAATTTACTTTATAATGCAATAGAAAGATGGATGATACGAAATAAAATGAAACAAAGATGGCTGTCAATTAGTGGGGGCATTATTATTATCATCAGTATTCAACCGACAACTTGAGACTCTGTCCCCAATCCTTTGACATTTTGGATGATTGACATGCTAAATTACAAAACACCACTTGAACAAACATTCTACTGTGACATAAAAGAAAAACTCAATAAATAAACCTATATATATATATATCAGTTTTTTTTTTACATTACCCGGCTAATAGCAGCGTTGATTCTTGTCTTGACCGCTTGCACACAGGCACAGCCAGTGGGGAGCCCCTGTCCCTGGTGATGGCTGCAACTGCAACTACAGCCCCTAATCCCACTGCAAATTACATTTCCGGCACTCCGGCAGCAGCGAATTAGCTTTTCATTTGGGGGACCAAACGCGGGGAAAAGAACAAATACTGCAAATGTTTGTGTCAAGATCGAAGCATGAAAGTCAACGATACTCACAGGTCGGACGGCAAGCGGCACAGCCGCTTCAGCGCCTGCGCGGAGGAGGAAGCGGCCGGCTGCGGCGGTGAGCCTCCTCCGCTGCCTGGTACGCTGCCTCCGTCTCCGCCCTCCCACCCCCGCTTCTGTCGCTTGCGCGGCATATCAGACGAAACAATGTACTGCTTCGGCGCCGGCGCTACGCCCCTCACCTCTACGCGTCGGCTCTCGCTTAGTTGCTTGCGTCACCGTTGCGAGTGTGCTGCCTGCTGCTGCTTGCGGTGGGCCGGTGACTGGGGCGGCCACTGCCCACTGCCCACGTACTTATGCCGTTATGCGCGTGCTGAGAGGAGTGTAAATTGCAGCGCTTTTCGTGTCTATATATGGTCATGCAGCCCGAGCTCGTCGGCCCGGTCCAATGCCCATTTTTTTGCCCAGCCCGACGGCTAGCGGGCCTGGTCTAGCACGGCCTGGAGGAGCAGGCCGTGCCTGGGCCTTACCCCAGGCACGTGGGCCGGCACGGCACGGCACGGCCTGCAACAGAACCGGAGGCCCACTGGCGGCCCGGGCAGCCGGCCTGCTAAGAGCCCTAGCTGGCCTGGCCAGCCCCTACCTCTCAGATGCGGCGCCCTCTCTCCCTCACGCGCCGTCGATCTCTCCCTCCTCCACTCTCTCTCCCTCCAGCCCTCCCTCCACTCTCTCCCGCCGCAACAACGGCGCCCCTCTCCCTCCCTCTTGCGCGGCCCCTGCAGCGGCGCTCTCACGAGGAGGTGGCGGGATCCGGCGCTCCCCTGCAGCGGTGATGCTCCCCTGCAAGCGGCCGGCAAGATCCGGCCTGAGGAGGTGGCAGCACGGAGCAGGGCGGCTCTCCTCCGGCGCGGACGTCTCTAGGCAGGGGCGGCGTGAATCCAGCGTGGGACGGCGCGGATCTCCTCCTCCGTGGTGGATCCGCTCCCCGCGTCCTCCCTCCCTCCCTTCTCCGGTGGATCCAGTGAACAGCGGCGGCGGATCAGGCACCGGTGCAACGGATCCGGCGAGTGGCGAGCGCGCTGGCCTCCTCCGGATCCGGCGTCAATCTCCTCGGCGGTGAGCGGAGTCAACCCCCTACACCTCTCGAGCGGCGTCGCCCTTCCCTTCTCTCTCTGTCGGCAGCCATTAACTATCAGTTCTGTTCAAACTTAAAAGGCGTGTCACGATCCATTCCCAGGGATGCTTGTCTCTGTATCTGTGACGCTGGTTGCACAAGTTGTAGCACGCAGAATTAGAATCCATGTAGACGCTGGTTGTCAGATGATGAATCCTAGATAGTGTCATTCAGATTAGGGTATCAGAAATAGATAAAGAATTACATGAATGATGGCCAAAGTATGGTGCTGCTTTTGTAGATGAAGATCTCCCGTCGGATCTGCTACTGAGTACTGACACATTGGAGCATTTCATATTTCGTATATGCACTGCAAGTCAGAGAGTTTCAAGAGAGACTTGAGTGGTTTACCTGATGGATATACTGGGTAACTGTCTTTTGCATGAAGCTTATCTGATCAGAAGCAGAGAGCGGAGAGAACAGAGTGCCTCTCGTGTTAGTTTCTGCCAATTTTGGAGTTCCTTTTTCTACAGCTCAGATGATCTTCAGTTTCTACCGTGCATGCAGTATGTCTCTATGCTTGAATGAATGTCACTACTTTCAGTTCAATCCCCAGTTCTGAACTCTACATGAAATCATTTGAGAAACATTGAACTTGAAGCAGGAATATGCAATAAATCAATTCTTTTACATTTTTTTTCATTCCTCTATAGACAGTTTGGAGCTACTAATAGCATTACAATTTTTTAAGGGTGATAAATGCTTTGCCGCAACATTAATACAACTTGGGGTGTTAAACCCCAACACCACCACGCATTACAACTTCCTCACTGACACGATTAATACAACTAAGCACAAGAGCTCTTCCAAACTACTTAGTTCCATAACGCAGTACAATGTGGTACGGTTTATGGTACATGCCAATCTCACCAAATGAGTAGGATGAGGTCGACGTCCGCCGCCACGCGCCAGAAGACTTCGTGGCGCGCTTCCGCCATCGGGCTGACCGCGATCGCGTTCTGGAATCGCGGCCTTCCGGCCAGGTGCCGCTCGTGTGGCGGCCTTGGCGCAGAACATCGCAGGCGAGTGGTGGATCGTTCCGCTTCCGCGTGGTCGTGGCCATTGCCAGGGTACCGCTGCACGCAAGGAACACCACCGTGGCACAGGTCATTCTTGGACCATGCTGCACCAGCGTGGAGCTCTCACGGATACGTGACACGCCGGCAGATGATGACCGCGAGTTTTTCGTCATGGCGTGGTGCTGGCATCCGAACTTCATTGAGGAAGAAAAGATTATCTTCATCCCGGAGCCGCGGGTGGTGGGGGTCGCGGAGGACGAGCGCATGGCGGATCCGGGGCTGCGATACCTTGTGCTCACACGGGTCATCGCGTACCAGGACTGGAGCACGCCCCCGGGAACACCTGACGATCTGGGTGGCGACAACGGCCATGGCAACGACGACGACGACGACGGCCATGGCGGTCACCATGGCGACAACAATGGCGGCGCTCGCGACGGGTTCGACGAGCCGCCGCACCCGCACGACGACATCGACTATCCATATGCCGACGACAGCGACGACGACGGCTACGCGGAATCCAACCACAACCACGGTCACCCGGGCCAGGACTACCGGCGGCGAGGTCCTCCGACGAATTCCGTACGTGTGGGCCAGGTCCTCTACCCCCTGACACGTGGAAGGATGGGTCGCGTCCGGACTGGGGGTGGCCGCGAGATCCCGGACAACTTGTCAGAGCGGTGCGCTGACCTTCGTCCGTGGGCCAGCCTAAGATCGCTAACACCGTTGGGGAATCGTCACGTCGCTGTTGTTGAGCCCTGCCCCCTCTTGGGACACGAGCGCATGCCTGCTAGCTGGTCAAGGTGGCCAACGATGTCTGCGCCTGGCACGCCCAAGATCTCTCCTGTTCACGTATCCTGCCGGACCAATCTCCTCGCTTCTGCTGACCTTGCAGTCTGCCAGGACAACGACGTGCACCGGTCAGGGGAGGTGGGGCGCTTCCTGGACATCGCACCCCTTCTACTGCACGCCGGCTGTAGCTTACAGCAGGCAACAGGTGAGGCCCATACCTTAAATTGGGCCAATGAGGCCGGGGAAGGGACCAAGCATTCGTTTGCGGGCCAAGCTACTCTGGATTGGTGGGCCGCTCTAATCGATACAGAGCTGGCTGGGCCGGCCATACGGGCAGACATCAGTAACATGGCCCAAGTCACTCTGGCCTTGCACGAACCGGTGTACGACGTCGCGGTGCCTCGGCTCGATGAGATGAACGCCGACGATGACTAGTCCCACGCATGCATGCCTGTGCACGGTGATGATGCGCCTCATCTTCGCGCAACGACTGGTGTACGGCCGTCGTCCGACCTTGCCAATGATGGGTCGGCTGCCCAGCCAGCCACTACAGAGGAAGTCACGGCACTTACACAAGTGGCGGCGCCTACGGCGGCATCCGTGATGGCCTTTGTCGACTCTCTCCGTCTGCCTGTGCTAGAACCGATCATCCAGGACACTCCGCGCGCCTACGTGCCAAGACGACGCGACGATGACTGGCTCCTGCGGTGGAGCACTCATCTCGCGGCCAAACATGCCTTCCGCGACCC